AAAAGATGTGGATGGAGGAATCTCCTTTTATTGTATTCTGACAGCTGCCGCCTGCAGTTGTCAGAATACATGAACAACGACTGCGGCTGATTGTCTGCAGTCACTATTCAGCCACAATGTTCAGGTGGTGCCAGCAGGGCCACACACAGATTGACTTTTGTCTTATGTTGAGCTGGGTGGTACCGGCAGGGTCACCCACGAATTAAGTTTCAACATATTCAGCAGAAAATGGCTGTCTATTGAGCCGTGTATGGCCAACTTTACCAATTACAATGATCATCCGACACGCACACAGTAGTGGATATCCAATGACCATCAAAGGATCTGATCATTTCTGAGCACACAGTAGTGGATATCCAATGACCATCGAAGGATCTGATCATTTCTGAGCACGCATTCGTGGATATCCAATGACCATCAAAGGATCTGATCATTTCTGAGCACTCAGCAGGTCTCCATTGCACTTACCGCTGTGTATTAGAAGCAGAAGGGTGACAGCCATGCTGAGGAGTCTCATATCTGTCGCTCTCTCTTGATCTCGCTCTCTTATTTTTCTCCGGGACTCGGTCTTATATCTGTTCCACTTTTCTTTATTACTGACCTCCTTCTACCAATTATCTCTAATTTCATTCATTTCCATCTCTGTATGTTCTACATTCATCCTCGACTACTCCAGTCTCCTGCAGGGGGCTACATGAATGGGGGCCATTGACAGTTCCAGGGAGCCTGCAGCTTCGGGGGACTGCAAGTCACAGCAGCAGAGAGAGGGGCAGTGACCAGACTGCATTCTGTAGGTGCACAAGTTCAGTACAGGGTATCATGGATGGAGACTGTGGGGGGGTCCATGGTTCTCTGAGGCTGTATTGGATGTGAGTGGCGTGTGCCAGCCCAGCATCACATTATTTAAACATGTCATCAGGTATCTGTCATCGTTCTTCAACCTTTGCAAGAAATAACTGACATGTGACAAGTTTCTATGGGAATTGCAGACGCAATTAGTGCGGAAGTGAAATTTAAAGAAGTCTCCCTGCACCATAAATTCAGAGCTCAGATCAGAAGCCTCTGTGTTGGCAGACGGGCGCAGCACTGAGGAAGAGCAACGAAGCTGCATAGACTTCTATAGGCTGCCCATCAATCTGTCCATTAATTGATGTATGGGTAGGGTTGCCACCTTTTCTTCAAGTGAAACCCGAACACTCTAGCGACACGCAGACATTTTTTGGGGCGAATGAGTCGTGGATTATTCATATGTAAATAGCGCCACCCATTCATATGTAAATATCACAGTTGAGACTATTTTCAGTGGGGGGCCAGTAGCCCCTATCTTAATTTTGGTTGCCCCTCTCTGCCTGACATCTTGTGTCCTGTTTTCTGCTGCCATGAAACTTGGACACAGCATTCAAAACCCGGACTGTCCAGGTCAATCCTGGACAGGAGGGCAACTCTAGTATGGGCATCCCATAGAAGACTCTGCATCGGCCTAACATTTATGCAATACTGCGATCTGAATAACCCGGCACAAACATGACATAGTGACAGTGAACAAGCATGAATACTGCCAGGGGTGTTCTGATCCATTTTGAGTCCGGGTTGGGGGCAGGGTTCTTCTGGACTACTGCCCAGGTGTGCAAAAGTGACCCCGCAGCTCTGGCCGGCCTCCCACCCAGCTCCTGCCAACCAGTGATGTCACTGGTTGCCAGGAGCTGGTCGAGACGCCAGCCAGAGCGTCCCAGGTTGCTATGAGCTGGGTGGGGAGATGTGTGTGGCCATTAGACATCTCACCATCTGGGTTTTAGCAACCTGAGACTCTCTGGCCAGAAAGGGGGTGGCAGGCACACTGCAAACATTATGCAGCAAAGCGGTCATGCCACTCTGCCTGACGACCCCCCATGTGACTCAAAGAGATGCTGCCTGAGGGAACATCCTCAGGCTACCTCATTATAGGGATGGCCCTGTGTACTGCAACCTGAACCACCCGGCACAAACATGAAATAGTGACAGTGAACAAGCATACGTACTGCGTAGGGTTTCCACCTGTCCAGCATTCACCCGGACAGTCCGGGTTTTGAATGCTGTGTTCAGGTTTCATGGCTGCAGAAACCCGGACACAAGATGTCAGGCAGACAGGGGCAACCAAAATTAAGATAGAGGCTACTGGCCCCGCACTGAAAATAGTCTCAACTATGATATCTACATATAAATGGGTGGCGCTATTTACATATGAACACGCCACGACTCCTTCTCCCCCCCAAAAATGTCCGTGTGTTGCTAGAGTGTTCGGGTTTCGCTTGAAGAAAAGGTGGCAACCACGTGAACCACCCGGCACCAACATGAAATAGTGACAGTGAACATGCAGCAAATGCAAATTTCTTCTGGGTTCGGGACCTAGGGATCATTTTCAGAAGGAGATCTCTACATCAGCAGCCCAATTCTTTCTTTATGGGGTTCCTTTAAAGCAAGGGTAGTCCAACTTCGGCCCTCCAGCTGTTGCGAAACCACAAATCTCATCATGCTTCTGCCTCTGGAAGTCATGTCTGCGGCTGTCAGAGTCTTGCAATGGGATTTGTAGTTCCACAACAGCTGGAGGGCCGGAGTTTGGCTACCCCTGGTTTTAAACCGTGTCCACATCTACGGACTACTGATCTGCAACATGTCACTTTGTATTTGATGTATTGGGTTTAGAGATCCGGTGTCTATAAGTCTGGAATGTTCTGAGGGATACAAACTTCTGCAAGTCATATCATATAATAATAACTGGTTGGGGAACTTCCCCAGTAAGTCATAATAAGGAGAGTGAGTGTCCTTGTGATCATCACAAGATGCAGTTCTGGAATCTCCCCAAACTAAGAGGTCCAGAGGGGGGTATCTGGAGACACTGTCCTCATTGTCATCCTGCTCCGCTCCCCCTCTTATCACATTAGCTCGCAGACTTCCTGTGATAACGTGTGTTTGTCAGCCGTTCGGTCCTCTGTAAACAAGGGATCAATGTCATTTCAGCGTGTGTCATGTCGAGGGATCATTGTCATTTCAGCGTGTCATGTCGAGGGATCATTGTCATTTAAGCGTGTGTCATGTCGAGGGATCATTGTCATTTCAGCGTGTCATGTCGAGGGATCATTGTCATTTAAGCGTGTGTCATGTCGAGGGATCATTGTCATTTCAGCGTGTCATGTCGAGGGATCATTGTCTGTGTTTAAATGTCAGAATTCTGAGATTAAAAGTCCCAATTTTGAGTTTGAAAGTCAGAATGCTGAGATTTAGGCCTCGTTCACAGTAGATGCAGTGCGTTCCGGCCTGATTCTGGCCAGAACGCATTGCAGTCGGCAGGAGGGGGCGTGGCGGTCCATTGAAGTGAACTCCGACCGCAATGTTTGCAGCATTTTGATTGCACCGGACCGCAGGCATAATGTGCCTTGCGATCCCGTGCGGCCGATCGCATTGCAGCCGCATTGCAATTCACTTCAATGGACTGCCACGCCCCCTCTTGCCTTTTTAATCTCAGAATTCTGACTTTTAATCTCAGATTTCCGACTTCTAGTCTCAGAATTCTGACTTTTAAACACAGAATTATGTTTCATTTTTTTTTTTTGCATGGCCCCAGGACTCTCCCATACCCTTGCACTACATAGTTGTTGGTAGATCTAAAGAAAATTGTATAGTCAGATTGTATTGTGTGTGTGGTTGAAAAGCCAGACGCATCCATTATATCGTCCTATGTCTCCTTCCATCTCCTGCTTTCATGGGTACGGGTGACATGTGTGCAGTCAGTGTCTCTCTTGCTGCTCATTTCCCATCAGCCACTGCTGCTGCTGTCATCTTTATTTCATTATCCTCCTTAATTCATGTAACAGAAGAGTGGAAACATGTGACGGCTTTTATTCAATTCAGAATGTGAAAGACTCAGAACAAGAAAGAGTTTCAAGAAAAAGCAAAAAAATAATAAACCGCAACAAAACAATTATACTGGTCTGCTGCGGGTCAGGCCCGGATCTGTGGGGTGGCAGACCGCCCCAAAGCATATTTCCCATATGGCCGTGCTGGGCCTGTGCAAGGTAAGATGGCGCAACGCCCAACTGCACTTCTTGCCATTTCTTTTGACACAGCTCCAGGCTTTTTTTTCTCTTCTTTCCAATATAGCGGGGAAATAAAGACTCAGATGAACTTGGTCCATCAAAGACGTTCTTGGACCTTGAAGACACATTTTCCTTGAAGGGTCCTGGACGCTATAAGGAGAATGTGTCATTTGGTGACAGGTTCACTTGGAAGCCCCCTTCCCCCCAGGATTTGATAACTTTGTCACACCCCTGCTAATCTGTTAGTCTGTCTAGGCCCTAGGAAATACCCAGAGGAGCCCATGACCTTCTCTCCTTCCTCCAAGGATGCAACGCTTGGGTCTAGGTGGCCAATAGCCAGGCTTGAACAGTGTCACATGGGGTAGAGGAGGTCCATAACCCTGTGTAAATTGCAACCAGGGCCGGATTAACATAGGGGCTACTGGAGCACTAGCTCCAGGCACACCACGGAAAATAGGCCCAGCTGTCCCAGATCGCCTCAGTATGCCCGATGGCAATCTAGGCCGGCCGGGCTGAACACTATAAGGCATAGGCATTGGCACCTTCTTTAATCAGGCACATTAGGCGGCTGCTCCCTGGGGTCCCATGAGGGAGCGAGAGGCTGCCAGATTAGTGAGCTGCCTCTGCTACTTCCTGTCCAACCAAGCCGGCAGCACCAGGCCCATGATGCTCTCAATCTGGCCCTGGATCCAACACAGTGATTAGACTCAGGGCTCTGAAAGATGATTGGCGGGGAAGGTGAGTAGAAGTTGGTTGGGCGTTGTTAGGATTCAAGAGAACCTGTCACTATTCCATTGACACTTTTGGTAGCCTATTTCATTCCCATGTAATTTATCATTTTAAAAGGCAATACACTTGAAGTTTAAAGCATCAGTCTCTAGTACATTTCCATGATTGGTCCCGCAGATTGGTCCAGCAGATCCATATCTATACTTCATCTGCCTCTTCACTTTCATCTGTATCCGCCTTTCCCAGCGTCATGGCTCTCTCCTCCATTTTTTTCTTCCCTTTGTCCTTTTTGGATCTCTTCCCTCCGCAGGTGCACCGCCGCACCCACATCACTTGGCGGATGACTTTTCGGTCAAGTTGAGCGCACTGAAACGCCACTGGGCGCGTTTCGGTGACGGAGGGGCTGCAGAGTCGCCCATCAGAGCAGTGACCGCAGAATCGGGGAAGCAGAGGGTGGCGCGAAAGGCAATCGCGGAAACGAAGGTGCAGAGGCTGGGACCAGCGCACCGCACGGCTACAGGCGTTGGTGGGCTTTAGGACCTGTAGGAGAAACGAGATAGAATTTACTGCAAAATATTAGGATGGTGCAATTAAGCCACAAAGGGGGTGCCATGATGCCCCTGGTGTTATATACGTGAAAGTCTGATGGGAATTTATAACCATTTTAATTTACAATGAGGCCTCACAATAGTTATTAAAATTCAATAATCCATTATAATTACAATGTCAGGAATCCCAGACCACTCAAAATTGCCAACTTTTAAAATACCTGCATCTGACTCTCTTAATCTGACTGGATGCTGCTCGGTGGACAATTTTCTGCCTGGCTCCTTCAATTTTTCAATTGATGGATGACAGGTGGAAGCCAGTGGACAGGGCCACCCACTGAGTGAATTTAGGTTCTTGAGGAACCTCCCAAAATTTGCTTAGTTTATGGCCGGGTTTACATCACTGCTGACTTAACACCTGGAAATATTGTGCAAAGTATTACTAAGTAACCCTTAGGGCTCATTCACGGGCTCATTCACACCATAGTGTTGGGCTAAAGGCACAGTTCCTGTGTGGTGACCACATGCCATTGCACCACAAAATGCACTGCCACGCCCCCTCCCGCCCCAGAACGCAAGGAGACTTTATGTATGCGATCCCTTGTGTTCCGGGACATTGCGGTAGAAGCACGAGGGAAACAAGCCCTCAGACTCTAACGTGGGTTGTTAAATCAGAGCTATGGGTATTAAAGGAAACAGCTTGGAGTCAGCCAAGCTAGGCAGCTATGCAGCATCCTGTTGTCAAAATCCTAATAAACGGAGGTTGTTTGACCCCCCAGAAATATTTTGGATGTTTTCTGTATTACCTGTAGATAAATAAAATACAATTTTGGACTCCTGAGACATTTGCTTGGTGCTCTTTTCTGATATGACTACCTGTGGATTTCTCAAGCTGGGTGATCTCTGCACTGGGAGGGTCCTCCGCCTTGTGGGGAGCTGCTGAACTTGGCCAGTTTTGGGCCTTCAGACTCATCTTTTCCTATAAACTGATAACTACTGGGTCCAGCACCTCACCTATTCTTCCTTTTGGATCTTATTAGATGGGTCATCCTTATTATTCAGCTCTGAATCACTCAACAAAATGTTTCTACTTCATGGTTTGTCATGTGACGTCACATCTTTTTGAGTGACTTAAGACCTCTGGTTGTATTGCTGAGGCTGTCCATGTGTGAGGAGGCTACAATGGTTTTTACTCCAAACAGGCACCATGAGTAGCCCGTCCACATCCAAGAACAGTGTTTAGATGCCTGCAGACCTCTACAGCGGGCATCAGGCTTTCTGGGTCCATAAATGTCTACACCCCATGACAATTCCACCATCCACTTCTCACCGTGTAATTGGCTCTGGTATACTGTCCTTTGCAGGGTCTGATCATACACAGCCTCCTCTCAGCGTTTGGAATGCAGGTCTCTTCCTCATACGTTATCCGTATGGAGTTCCCAAATCCACATGTTTTGGAGCAGGGGGTCCACTCTGTAGCAGGATTACAGGAAGGCGAGTCCAACACCGGCGTAAAATCTTCTTCTGTATCTGTGGGCACAGAATAAAGAACAAGAAGCAACATAGGTCAAGGAGCAATGTGAAGAATGCAATAGCCTACAGCAACCCCCAGAATCCATATTTGATATCTGACCACAGCTGGTTATGCATTGTACAATTTGATTGTTCAGATTTAGATTAAACAACAGCTATATAGTATGAGGGATTACCTGAGTTGCCAGAATTACCAAGCTCCTCTTCCTTAATATTATAAAAACTACATACACAGGCTCTCCATTGCAATTCCACACAGTGGTTGGGCTTTACTGTTCCTTTTGACAATGCAAGTAGCTGATATCTTATCCCAACAGATGTTAAAGTGGACCTGACCTCAGAAAGTAAAGATTTGCTATGTTTTAAGAAAAATCTAGAATGAATTGTGCCTAAACAGTACTCCTAGAAATAGCAGCGCACTTTCTCATATGTGAGGGTGCTAGGCACTCCTGTCTACATGCTCATAGCTGTATATCTGCAGTGTGAGATCGCAGGCACTGCTGCCTATGACAGTCTTAGCAGATTATTATTTCCTCTGCATTGCAAATAAAAGTTCTGAACAATCATTTAAAGGGGTTGCTTAGAGGTTTTAATATATATATACACTCAATTGCCAAAAGTATCGGGACACCCCTCCAAATCATTGCATTCAGGTGTTCCAATCACCTCCATGACCCCAGGTGTATAAATCAATCCAAGCCTTACATCACTAAGTGCAATGCAAAGGGTCGGATGCAGTGGTGTAAAGCACACCGCCACTGGACTCTAGAGAAGTGGAGACGTGTTCTCTGGAGTGACCAATCACACTTCTCTGTCTGGCAATCCGATGGACGTGTCTGGGTTTGGCGGTTGCCAGGAGAACGGTACTTGTCTGACTGCATTGTGCCAAGTGTAAAGTTTGGTGGAGGGGGGATTATGGTGTGGGGTTGTTTTTCAGGGGTTGGGCTTGGCCCCTTAGTTCCAGTGAAGGGAACTCTTAAGGCATCAGTATACCAAGACATTTTGGACAATCTCATGTACCCAACTTTGTGGGAACAGTTTGTGGATGGCCCCTTCCTGTTCCAACATGACTACGCACCAGTGCACACAGCAAGGTCCATAAAGACATGGATGAGCGAGTTTGGGAGGGGGAACTTGATTTGTCCCGCACAGAGTCCGGACCTCAACCCGATAGAACACCTTTGGGATGAATTAGAGCGGAGACTGCGAGCCCGGCCTTCTCCTCCAACATCAGTACCTGACCTCACAAATGCGCTTCTGGAAGAATGGTCAAACATTCTCATAGACACACTCCTAAACCTTGTGGACGCCTTCCCAGAAGAGTTGAAGCTGTTATAGTAGCAAAGGGTGGGCCAACTCAATATTGATAATACTTTTGGCAATATAGTGTATTTCAGGTTGCATGTCACCTATTGTAATATCATGCTATGGCCACTAGGTGGAGCTGACGAGTATAGAGCATAGGCCATGTCTATTTATGTCCTTTGCTTCTTAGTTCCATCTAGTGGCCATAATGCGGTATTACATTACATTTGACCTGAAAAGAAAATATACAAAGAACATGTGTTTTTGGTCTATTTGCACGCAGCAAAGATTCTCAGGGGTTCGAAGTGCAAATCCCCCCAGCAAATTGTTCATAAACAGACCCCATAAATTAAAAACAATGTTAATTAAATTAGCCTAAATCCATTATAGTTCACGTTAAAAAGCCAAGACAGCTTGAACAGAATAAAGGGAACCATTAATAAGAAAGTGTTGAATCAATGTTCATTATCAAGAATTAATTTTTTTGTGAATAGCAAAATCGTGGCCTTGCCCCTCAAAATCATAAACAGGACTACATAACCTGTTCCTTGTAATAACTTTGATTCACAAACCTTTGCACACTCCTTGCTCGCTCATAGAGTCCCCTTGATAGTCACAAGTCAGATTTTTCCGGGTGTCGCAGGGTCGGAATCCATCACACTCAGTGTCGATATCCTGGATGCACACATTGCATCCACAGTCACAAGTGTCCAAGGTCGTTCCCAGAGTGCAGGTGAGGTTTTCAGGGCAGTTACAAACTAGTGGACATCGCTAAGGGGTGAAGAAAAGGAAACATTTCAGTCTCCACTACACCCAAGTGAGTTATCAGTTTTGTGTGATGTTCTTCTGTAAGCTTAACAGTGTTAAATTATGAACTGGCAGATCTGTCCCTGTAAATGAGAGATTGCCCATCCTTGGTTGAAACCAGTTCTGCCAGAGTTTGTCCATCCTTGGTTGAAACCAGTTTTGCCAGAAATTGCCCATCCTAGGATGAAACCAGTTCTGTCAGAGTTTGGCCATCCTTGGTTGAAACCAGTTCTGCCAGAAATTGCCCATCCTTGGATGAAACCAGTTCTGCCAGAGTTTGACCAGCCTTGGTTGAAACCAGTTCGGCCAGAGTTTGGCCATCCTTGGTTGAAACCAGTTTTGCCAGAAATTTCCCATCCTTGGTTAAAACCAGTTCTGCCAGAGTTTGGCCATCCTTGGTTGAAACCAGTTCTGCCAGAGTTTGGCCATCCTTGGTTGAAACCAGTTCTGCTAGAGTTTGGCCATCCTTGGTTGAAACCAGTTTTGCCAGAAATTGCCCATCCTTGGTTAAAACCAGTTCTGTCAGAGATTGTCTTTTTGAGGAGACACAGCATGAAGTAAGAGTAAATCTCTCCAAAGTGAGGCAACATCCCCTCTTAGACAGTTGTCAGCAGAACAGATGTCCTCATTGGAACATCCATTACTCTCTGCTCCAGAGACAATAGTCACTGGGACTAATAGTGAGGGTGACTATCCCTACTGTGAAACAGACAGCATGGTGCCGAACCAGTAGCTTGAGGGTCACCCATGTTGTCCCCTTATGTTTGTCATGTGTTCCTACATGTGTGCATACCGATAAGAAGTTTAAAAAAAAAATCTTACTTTTTAGATGTGTCTATATAAGAAGGTTTCCGGCTACACATACCCATTAATATGAAGAGACCCTGCACCTGTTTTTCTGGCTTTTATAAATTACACTGTATCACATCCACACTAAAACATTTGTTCCCTTTTCTGTTGAGAAAAGGGAGCCAAAGCAAGCCCTGATTTTCTGTTATGTGACCTCTTCACCTTCTCCTATCATACATACAATCTGCCAAAAGATTCTTTTTTTACACTACTGATTAATTTATTTAAACACTACAAAATGCAAGTATGATGTACAACGCATTCCAGCCAGTCACATGTCATCTTTCATCAACTTAGAGCAGTCAACAATGAAAGATGATTTCTGATTGGTTGCTCTGGATTGCTGCATTTTCCATATTACTCTATTGCCTTATTAAGGGAATCCTGTACTGAAAAAAAATATGGGCGCAGCCCTTTTCTGAAAATGCTGGTTACTTGGCTGTTCCTGGCTTCAATACAAACAAACATTCAGATCAAGAAAGTAAGATTTCCTCATTGTCATACTTGTTTTGGGTTAGTGGCGTACTAAAGTCATTGGATCAGCATAACAGTAGGGAACAACTATTTTTAGGAGAGGTCAGCAGCAGTGGTAGCCACCTCCATACTTCCTTGCTACATACTTCATGTATACAGTATATATATATATATATATATCTATATAGATATATCTATCTATATAGATATATATATTTTTTTATTTATAAACCTAAAAGAGAAAATCACAGATAAAACATAAGAACTTGACCTAATCTTACCGGCTTCTCTCCCAGTGTCACTGTCCCAGATAATAAAATGATGTAGAGTGCAGCGTACGGCCCCATTGCCAGGGTTGACCCCAGGAGTCCTTATGTTACCCTGAAAGACTGCCCTCCATATATATCCTAAGAAGACACAATCCTATTGGACAAAACGTTCTGTGAGTCAGAGCACAAAGGCTAAGAAGCATTGTCCTTTATGTACAATATTTCATGAATACATATATATAGAATGTCTGCAGAGTGTGATAACACTGCGGGTAAGACAGGGAAGTGGCGACTTTATCTTTTGGTGGAATTGAGATCCACAAAGATGACGCACTTATTGTTTGTCTTCGTCATATGAAACTGTGGAATGCTCTCCCATGGCCATGAACACATTACAGTGAGAGCAATAATGAATGTTCTTATTGTAATTTCTCTTGAACGTTGAATGTCCTTCAATAGGTTAGTTCATACAGAACAGAGTGAATGGGGAAAAAACCTCATTACGGCCACTAGATGGAGCTGAAAATCAGAGGAAATAAATACATGTTACAGGGAAAAATACACAGAGCGATCATATAAATGTGACCATTACTATCCCCGTAGTAACAATGATTACATTTATTTGCTCAATGGAGATTCTTCTATCCAGGCTGTTTAGCGTGCATGGGGAATCTAATGATTTCTCTTGTTCAGTCCGCAAGGCTGAAGGTGAGAAATTAAACAGTGTGTAGTTAGCCTTACACAGAGGCTTCTGTCATAATAATAGCCAGCCTGTCCACACTTTCTAAGTATGAGACTTTAATTCCGATTTAACCCCATACAATTATCAGATTGCAATGTTTTTACAGCACTGGAATTATCCTGGGCTCCTCGGCTCCACCTAGTGGTGAGAATGCCATGTATATCTCAGCAGATAATTTTTAAATCATCCCCTAAGTGGGTGTGTATGTGTGTTGCTGTGATAGAAACATAAGAGCCCTGGTGCCTAACCTGTGGCCCCAATGCTGCATGTGGCTCTCTGGTGCTTCTTGTGTGGCCCTTGGGCCCCATGCAATCTATAATGGGACAGGGAACTTTGATATGTAAATGAATAATAGCAGTGATCTCTACCCCCATATAACATATCCCCAGTCTATCACTAGCCTCTGTGGCATGCTTTCAGTCTCTGAACAAACCTGTAGCATGTCTACAGTCTCTGACCATCCTTTCCTCTAGTATATCAGCAGTCTCTGACAGTCCTCTCTAGCATTACACTCAGGCTTTTTGTGATGTCAGGAGCCCAAGTGGAGACCCCCTATACCACATAAGTTGACAACTACAGCATTGCCAACGTCAATCGCACTACACATGCTGGGTATCACCGTGTGCACCAGAGCGAGAGGGTCCTTTAAGTATCACCTATGACCAATTTGGGGGTTCTATATTTTGTTGTAGTTTTTACGGGTGCAGGCAATTTTTAACCTGGGAATGTTGGGTATCTATTTGTTCATCGTAACCTCCTATTTTATATTTTCCCAAAAAAATTGTTTTTGGACACTAAAATGAACTTAAGTGTATTTTTTACTAACATTTTGGGGTTTGATAAAGAGTTGCGCTACTATCGTGCAATTTAAAAATGTGCAACTTCCACAATTTTATTGTACAGAGTCTCATCTTTCAGAAAATACATAATGTTTGGAGGTTTTAAGTAAATTTCAGGCCTAAAATGTGGATTACAACAAGTGTGCAAAAAAACCCTCAAAAACGCCTTGGCAGCAAAAGGGTTAACCATCAAGGAGCAGCATCCATTGTAAGGCTGGGCACACACCTTTCAATGGATGGTTGTAAGGTACTACAACCATCAATGTAAGGTTGTAAGGTAAGGTACTTAAAAAAACGTACGATCTGCCTATCTTGCATAGGCAGATCGTACTTGCGAGGATTGCAAGCCACGCCCCCTGAGGGGCGGGCTTCCGATGACCGCAATGCCCGAACGGGCAGTGTGCGCTTGCGCACACCGGCCCGTACGGCTTTTATCGTACGAACATGCCACAAACCCGCCGAACATCGTACAATGCTCGGCGGGTTTTCGAACATGTCCGTAAGTTAAAAGTCGTGCGACCTTACAGTAGTAGAGGTTGCACGGCTTCCACACACCTTACGATAATCGTACGATCGCGGGATTTCCCGCGATTATCGTACGATTATCGTAAGGTGTGTGGGGACCTTAAGTGATTTAATCAGCCTCTGAAATTGCTTAAAAACCTTTTGACTTCAATATCACTTTAAACACAAAAAAAGTAATTTTTATTACATAAAAACACCAAAACAATCATTATAGCAAAAATATGTAATATTATTTTCACTTGAGTCCCTGCCCTATAGTCCGCTTACATACATGGTGCCTAGATCTATCATCGGCTGGAAACAATGAAGTGATGAAGATGGAACAAGTAAAGAATGTGTTTTTGAAACTATTTATAACTTTGTAGAAAAAAACCCAATGTGGAATAACCCTTTAATAATAATTCTGTAGAACAGAAAGAACAGAAAACCTCAGGCTGAGGCCTCAAATAGCTCTCATCTCCCTTTATAGAGCATGTCAGTGACAGATATGGCATGACTGTGTGTGTAATCAGCATAGCACAGCTGTACCAGAGGCCACATCATGGAAGGGATTAAGGATGCTCTGCTTTGCTCATAGCAACCTATAAGTATCTTTCATCTCAAAAGGAACCTATTCAGGACTGAAATATTGGCCCCGCCATTGCTAAGGCACTTTATGTTGCAATTGAGTAAATAAAGCCAAGTGGACATTTATAGAGGGTTTTAAAGGTAAACCTGCACAGTTTTAACCCCTTGCTGCAGGCAGGAGCCAGCCCTTTAAGAGTTCATTAAGCTGGAGGCATTACATGGGGTTTTCCATCATCTGAGCACTGTGATTGGCTCTCAGAGAGATCTCGTGATCGTCAACAGTGACTGGGAGCTATTGGTGACAGCGCGGTCACAGTGCTGGGGGTGCCATGTCAACCCGCTGCATGCATATATGAGGCAGCACAGCGCTAAAGCTTACCGCCATGCCGCCACATATATGGGTATGGCAGGCATTGAGGAGTTAATAACCAAAGACTGAGTATTCCAGATCCTAGGAAAACCTTATCCCGCTGTGGCCTGTGGGTACTCCTCTCCAGGTCTCTGCTTTGTAGCCCTTTTTCCAATTTCGTACTTTTGATGTAAGCACAAGTTCACTTCAAGGGCCAATGACTCAATCGCCTATGCAGGGGTGGGCAACTCTGGCCCTCTGGCTGCACTTTAAGTACAAATCCCAACATGCCTCTGCCTCTGGGACTCGTGCCTGTAACTGGAGCCTTGCAATACCTCATGGGACTTGTAGGTACACAACAGCTGGTGGGCCCGAGTAGCCCACCCCTGCTCTAAGGGGGTCTATTTATTTTAAAAATGCATAGATATTAGTGCAGTGACACAGACTGTACGTTTTTCTGCTCCTATTAACCTGCTGGTGTGAGAATGAGGCAAAATCGAATGATCTTAAAGCTATTTTCTCTTCTGGTCAAATGTTCTTCAAATATTATGGGTTAGTAGTGAATCAGAAGAATACCCCATTATGGCCACTAGATGGCACTGAGGATCATAATAAAAAAGATATCTTAGTAACACGAGCTACAATGTAACAATTTTAGAGAATGCTGGAGGGAATTATCAGATATGTGTAACCTTTCCTACTCCCTGTAGCAATGGCTAGGGCCCTTAGGACTCATTCTCACGAGAAAAGGCCGGCACGTACAGCTCTGTGCTGCCTGAGTGACCGTATCGGGCAGCTCCCGGGAAGGACAGGTGCTGCGTGTGATTAGTACGCAGCCGCTGTCCTTCTCTATGGGAGTATGCGGCCATACGCCGCCCTACGCTCACCCCAAGTCCAGGTCCGTACGGGTGCGGGTGTCCCGGCTCGGACGCAGACAAGATGCATCCTGTCAGCGTACGAGTGCAGACACCCACACAGAAGTGTAGGGCGGTGTATGGTCACGTAGTACCATAGAGAAGGACAGGGGCTGCGTACTAATCACACACGCAGCACCTGTCCTTCCCGGGAGCTGCACCATACGGCCGTGCATGCAGCAGGGAGCTGTACGTGCGGGCCGATTCCAGTGTGAATGAGGCCTTAGTCTCCATCCACACATGCATCTGCATTTTCATGTGTTATTTATCACATTTTTTTGAAAATCTTCATGCATTTAAAAGTGTTTTCTTGTGTTTCCATGCGTTATGTGTTTTTGGCCAGTGAAGAGGAAATAAAATATAGGTTGCTATAGGGTGGGGGCTTGTTGGCATGCGCTAAACCACACGAAAATGCATGTTATAGGAGTTTCCATGCTCTCCCATTGAAGACTATGAGACAAAAAATGCACCCTTTTCCAAGCTGCGCAGAAGCAGATTTTTTTCAGCAGTGACATAATGGTTCATTGATAATAGCTGCCAAAGATTTTTTTTATTTTAAGTTTTTTTTAACCTCTAGTATGTTCATAATAGTATTTTCCACTGTGATGACTTAGTTCCCTGATGGTATCCCCCCGAGGTTTAACTGATAGGTGAGGTTAACATAATGCAGTTTGGGGGCTTCCTAGTGACCACTTTTTTTGAAAATGCAGTTGCCTGGCTGTCATATTGAATTAATGGCTTCACTACTCTCTGAGTCTATGCAGATCCAAAAATTCTGGCTTGCTAATTAGCACTTTCAGTAGAAGGTCAAGTGCCCAATTACACCTGTGCGATTTAAATCGGTTCAGTCGTTGGGAGACAATACATGACAAAAAAAGGCCGTGCAGGATGCAACACCTATACAACATGCATTTCAAGACAATCCGCTGCCTTGTCTGTGACTGGCAGAGACTTGGCCATGAACAGGTTAAGGTCAGGAGCCCCTCCTTAATGACAGCCCAGGAATGGGGTTATAGGATAAATCAGCAACCTTGGCTTGTCCTGGGCAGATCTGTATAGTGGTCAGGTCAAAGGTGTGTGGTGGTTACTGATGGATTTATGGTTTGTGCTGTACAAAAATGTGAAGTTTTGTGGTTGTTGGTGTGCGTTTTTGTGAATTGATGGGTTTCCTGGCATGGATTTTAAGTGTCCATACCAGAATATAATAAGCAAAATAATCTGTTTGTACCTCATATGACATTCTGTGTTAAATTCCCCCACCCTTATACCTATGGGTCCACAAAATGCACATTAATCCAGAAAAATCTGAGTTGTGTTTTGTAAAGTATCCATTTGCAACTTTTTTTTTGGCATGCTAAA